GTTTACTTGCAACGGTCGTGGGTTAGATTCTTTGAACATATAAATATATTGGGCTTCTGTAATACTTTCAATATTCTCATTCTGTGTATATTTTAATAATAATATCCTTGGACAATTTACATAGTACATAATACAATGTAGTCCAAAGCCAAGCAGAGCTTGTCTTGCCTTAGGCGACAACTGATGTACATTAAATACATAGATACATTTCTTTCTAAATACATAATATAGAAAACATCCAGACCGTACAAACAATCATAAAAATGTTTGTACCGTGCACAGAATCGAAGCTGCGACCATCGAAAGTAAAGCTTTCAGCGTCATTTGGAAAAGAAATTAGCAGGAAAAGAACTCACTACCGTCACTCAAACTATTCCACCAATGAGTTACTTCTAGAAATTTCTATGCTACAAATTGTGCATAGACTACGATACGAGCGAATTGTAAATAGATGCGCGCGCGCAACCGCAGGGCTGTGTGACGAGACATTACTATATCTGGCAATTTATCGAAGGGGATTTATTAGCAATTGTAATACAGCTCAATATGTATGCAATGGACATTTACACCGTACAATGTTCAGCGCCAACGGAAGAATGACAGACAACGCTTGACTTTTGACACCTTGACGACTTAATGTTGGCGAATCTCGAAACCGAACGTTGGAATTCCCAATTTTCTTACGCATAGCACGTAGCAATTTCATCAAACGACCAATTTAAAAAGGCTTTCATTACTGAAATCACGCAACATCTTTATGAATTCGAAATCGTGATAATTTTCAAAAAGATTGAACTATTTTCAATATATCATGATTATTGAAGAACCATGTTCCACTAAGCATATTAAAGTTGACCGTAAATTATATGTGGCATTGGGGCAAATTAGAATGTAACTACCTGATTGTGATTATCATCACCCATGAGCAACTACAACCAGGGAGTTGCCGGCCTTTCGGCAAGGAATGTACTGTTTCCTTGAAGGTATCAATATCAAACAATATATTCTTTTCCAGATTCAAGGAATCTATATTTCTATATTTTTTCTTAGTGGTGCAAAAGTTCTTAATAATTCTATGCTTCAGTTGTGGGTTTAGATTTGTTAGAAATATGTTAACATTTGATCCCAAGTGTCTGAATATCTCTACATCAAACGATATAAATATATAAGTACCATTTAAAAAAAAAACATATTTACGCTAATTGATTTCCACAGACAACAATATTGTCAGATATACGATAGGACTCTTTCCAGGATCGATGAGAAAAAACCCGTTACGTCAGTATCTTTTTTCAAGAACATTAATCGTCCTAAGCAGACGATTAAAGATTCCGCGCGCGCCCCTCTGCCGTGCTTCTATACACGATGCGCAAATGAAACAAAATGCCTAAACAAATTGCGTGAACAGCCGACAAGTTGGTCGGCCTGAGAGCGACCGCTTTTTGCACTAATTCGGCATTCCGAAATAAAAATTCCAACTCCATAAGTGGAAACGCAAAAACAATGCATCTGAACGCCGGCGAGGCCTGGACATACGATCACAGCGGAATGCAAAAAGTCACGAAGCGCTGATGATGGCCGCTGATGAATAAGCAGCGAGAAATGGGTTGATAGACTGCAATAAAAATTACCTATTAGCTATTTTAGGTATGTTATTGCACATAGAAAAAAGACGATCGATCCGTTTTTATAGTGAATGCAATGAAAAACAAGAAAATTATTATTGCACATCAAAGTATGTATTATTTCTCTATGGATACATTGTAAGGAGTTGAGTTCTTTTATCTTGTAAGATAAATATATTTTCTTATTACTTTTTAAACGTCCAAGAAATTAAATGAATTCTTCATAGTTTTTACTAATATTGGAAACGCAAAAATTTGTTAGTTTGGAAGGATAAATCGATGTTTATTAGTCTTTCACACAAAAACTAATGAACGGAATTTAATAAAACTTTACAGTAATATAGCTCATACATCAGAGTAACACATAGGCTGTAAATTTTATATGGGTGACACCGCGGCCACTGGTAGTATGTAATATTATTTTGCAATTCGAAAGTATTCCAAATGGACTATGGATGAATATTGTTTTAGTGATAATGTCATTGTTATCTCTTTGTCTAATTTATTATAATTATATATTTTTATCCCTTTTATGCATAGAATGGGTACAAATGAAATCGAAACCCTACTGTCCCTATAATTTATAGGGACAGTAGGGTTTCGATTTCATTTCTATCATTGATTAAGTTAAGTACTCCGAAACGTTTGTAGGGTACAAACCAACCAACTATATCAAACGTTATCCACATGCAATGTAATTTGTCCATCAGTTTATCGACAACTGAGCAACCCCTATGCTTTTATAGGGGTAGGGGTACGTCGGCCTGGTGACCCAATAGAGCATCATTTTGATGGGACCGAGCTGACCCAATTGCAAATGTCAACGAGCCATTTCCGTAGCCCTAATACAGTGATTCCCAACCTTGTCTCTACAGAGACTATTTTGTAAATACATAATACAGGGGGGAAGAGGATTGTTAGTAATGTGGATTGATAACCCCATTGCTAGCAATGTACCATGTCAGGTCGACCTCCACGCGGTTCCCCCTGGAAACCATCGTGTTAAATTCCTGGTGAATTTGTCGCGATGGGCTAACTGACCTGACCTCATTCTCATCTTATCATCTTCCACTGGTGCCCCGCCAGCGTAAACCGATAGCGCAAGCGGGTGCACCATCCCATTATCATCCGTAAAAAAAAAAATACATAATACATATTCACTACTAGCTGAACACGCGTCTTCGTACCCATACAACTTTTTTGTATGTAAACGAATTGAAACAGAACCAACAACGAATTTTCAATGAAGCTTACCTTAATCTATAAGTGAAAACTATATCTAATATGGTAGAACTTATTAATTGCCATAAAATCGGTGGTTATCATTGCTTTTATTTAATCTACCTCCGCCACAGCAAAGAACAACCAGAAACTACTGAACTTCATTTTCTTATTCTTTAACCTATAAAGTATTGAAAACAATTTAGAAACCTTGCGATTAACTGTATAATGGCATACTTATTAGGATATCAAACACATACTTTAAATACGAATATATCCACGTTCGACATAAATTTAAACTAAATAAAGAATAACGATAGTTTGGAATTGTAATTTTTCTTCGGAATATATTTTAGCTCTACTAAACCTATGGTGGTTATAGGTTGAGAACCACTGTCATAGCAGAATTAATGGCCCGGTATTGTTCTTGTGTTAATGAAATCTGTCTATTGCTATTACGAAGTTGTAGACTGTGTCAATTTGCTTTACTAGTGATGTATTATGCCTGTTTCTGCCATTTATGGCATGGAAAGTTTTGATTGGAGCTCTTTGTGTTATGAATGCTAAGTACGTTAACTGAATACACAATTATCCAAATACATATTATCATAACCAGAAAACCTGTTATCAAGTCATAGTTTAAAAGTATATTTCTCAAAAGTAAGTCTTAGAGAACAGATTTATAGAAATTTGATAGGTATAATAACAATTATTTACTATTAGTTGCAATTTAAATAAAAAAGAAAATATCTACTTCTTTACACAATTCAATTCCGCCATTTTAATTTATTCCCGCCAAATTTTATAAACATGTACCATGCACGTTTTGATTCCCAACAATTTTTTTTTTTTTTCAAACATATGTTTTACTCTGTCTTGGATACAAGTCGTTCAGTCGTGTTCTTCTTTTAAACTCTCACTTTTTTAATTAAACAATGCATTCTAATTGATTTAATTACAGATGAATTATACAACTATAAACGTTCTAAAATTGAAAATAAAATGTTATTTTTTTCTCGAATGTTATCCGGTATAAAGTGAATCGCATAAAGTACGAAATAAATATTTATAAGAGAAACTTGATCTCAACGGACATGAGTGTTCAGCTGAGAACCAATTGTAAACGGTCGAATAGAAATTACACCATACTTTTTATTTGTCTTATAATTTATTTGTCGTAATGCCGCTGGCCAAAGCCCTCGATCATTGAAGTCAAGTGATTGTAGAAAGGCAAACATCAGCTATCACAATATGAAGATGATGAAACCCTAGTTAATATTAAAAGAACAACAGAGTATCAGATATATTCACTATTACGAATAACAATTTTTTCACAGAATGTAAAAAGAACTTTCCGATGGATCGGAAGTTAGTAGCGTAGTTGTTTAGCTCACTGCTTTACTTTCATACTAAACACCCGGACTGATGCAATCATACTCATGAATACAAATGTATTGTACCGTGCGAGGAACCGAACCCGCTATTAATGTGGTAAGTTTTTTGAAAAATTTACTAACATTTTATAGTAAAATATGAGTACAAAGTAGAGTCACAGTATCAGTATGAAATCGTCTCAACCGGCGATAGGCAGCCGTAATGGGCGCAGCAGGAAGGGTGTGCCAAGACGACCCATAAACTATATGGGTCATTGTTAGAACACGCCGTGACCTCACCGCCTCACCGTCATGTGACAACACATAAAGGTAAGAAAGAGGTAACACAACCTAATGACTTAATACAAAGATAACCTCGGTGGCCTAGCGGGATAGCACTCTTACTTCCGATGATAGTGGGTTCGATGTTAAACTTATTTGATCTTGTGTATTTAATATTTTGACATTTATAAATTAGTGGTAGTTGTTATTCAATTATTTCGACTTAAAAATGTAAAGTTTTGCATTCTTCTTATGATGAGACAGCTTTCAGAATGAATATATGTATATACAACGTATATATACACTTATCATATATTTGTTAGTCGTATACGTTAGGCACGAGTTGGACTTGTTTGAAGTTCTTCCACGAGTTTGTAGTGCCATCTGCACTCGCCGCCTATCTGCTGCCTATCGAAGCTGTAAAGGCCAGCTGCAGCCAACAGCACCAGCGTAGTCCAAAAAACAAATATATATAGTAAGGTGATATAAAGCCACTCACCACAATGGGTCCATTGCTGCCGCTGCTGCTGAGCGTGGCGCCCAACCACTGGTACGACTTCTGGTCGATCTGGTGACGATGGCTGTCTTCATTGTTAGCTGAAACAATTTTTTTTATAAATATAATGTTTGTCAAAGAATTAATGACAGAACTTTAACACCTAGGATAGGATAGGATATAATATAACCAATATAACTTAGTATATGAAGATAAACGTTATTATATATATTAATAAAAAGTGTAACTGTCTGTTTATTTATTAATGATCCATACTAATGTAAACTGTCTGTCTATACGTTCGTTGTTTTCACGACTAAACGGCTGAACGATAACTAATAACTTTATAATTATATAACAATGAATTCGTCCTCCTCTCTTCTCTTCTGCTTGCTGTGCCCACAGGGTCCATGATTGATCTGCTGTTAAACTGTATAATTATGTATTTAATCCCAAAAAAAGGCAGACGAACTCGCCAATAGAAGCTAGTATTATATAAAACCAATTACTATACTAACATATGTATTCAATACATTTAAGCAATGTATTATTAATATGATATAATACTTAGTGAGCACTGGCTAAAAAGCATTCACTCTGTACATGATCTACTCCGTGGCAATACTATACTCACAAAACACTCACTCATCCTACATCCAGCAATATTCAATACAAATTAGTGTCCGTAAATGGCGTTATGCGACCGCTAAATATTACGTGACAAGAAACATCGCAGATAATAACTTAATACGAATTCGAGGACATTCATCTTCAGGTAAGAAATTCAATTTTATTGACGCAAAAAACATTGTATACATACATGATGGATGGACGGACCGTCCATCCAGCGGTCCGGGAATGCGCGTTTCCACTGAACTCAGATTATATATTTATTTATATATCAATCGATGTTCAGTTGAAACAATATAAGGTATGTTTATTAACAAAAATCCGAACCAAATCAGTTAAGCCGTTTCTGAGAATAGTAAACAAACGCACAGACAAAAAGATAAATACAAAATTTCTAACAATCATCGTAAAAGAATAATCGATTATCGAAAAATTAATACGTTAATAGTCAATTAATAATCGAATTATATTAAATCGATTATACCGCTATTTTTAAAATAATCGAATAATTAAAAATGGACAATTTGTATGTCCATAAACTCTATATCGTATCGTATTGTAACTTTCAACAATGAGCACTGACTAAAAAGATTCCACTCTGTACATGATCTACTCCGTGGTAGCACTATACTCACATCACACAAAACTGGCATAATTCCTTAAGTCATAATTAATATTTAAGTGAAAGCGTACGTTATTTTTAATTATCCTTCAAGTACGCGTTGGTTATTTAATAACGGGTCGAAACGAGTCGTGTCCGAGCCGTGACTCGATCGCCCCAGGACCCACAGATTACAGGGTATTATTTATTTAAATATGCATGCAGCATGATTGATTAATCGTGCTTTAATAGTTTGAATTGAACGATGTAATCATATACTTCCAGAGAAAAGTCTTACTCGAGTCTAAAAAGGAGTGGTTTTTGTAACTACCTACGTATTCGGAACAGTTCCTTAGTATATGCAGCCTGTATCACCAGGCTTGCCTACTTGAGCAAAGGGCACGTGACAATACTGGCCACCAAGGGAAATACGTGGTCATTTAAATTTAGAAGTAAATTTTTTTTTTTTAAATAAGAATTAGAAGGAAAAGGACGCTCCGTATTTTTATTATTTTAAATAAGAAAAATTCTGAATTAATCGATTTAATATTATTGATTTTAATAAAATTTACACTTTAGAGTACGTGGCCATTAAATTGTACTAAAATTGTACACGTCAAATCAATCAAATCAAAGTATCATTATTCATATAGGTCTATTACAGATTCTTATAATACTTTCAAATCTATAATCAGTTAGTCATGTTTACAAAAATACAGACCTTTTTGAGCACAGATGAGCAAATTTGGTGTTACTTTATTTACTTTGCGATACTCGGAAAGTGGAAGACCTCAGTCCTTATCCATAAATTATTTTCTTTTCTATAAAATACATTATACTATCTAATTTTATTTATTAATTCGTAATCGAAATATTGACTTACAAGAACAGGTAGGTTGTCAGTTTATTTCGCATTTCTGTAAAACCTGCCAATTTTTAATCACGCGAACAAAGTCACAGCTAGAAGCTAGTAACAACATAAATATTAAAACAAACGAGCACCCTAAATACATTTGCATATTATTAAGTTGGTCATTCTGCCATGTCACGACATGTCAACTCTAATGACAAGAACCGTTAATGAGTCTACGGACATACGAAAATTTATGGACGACAACACGAATTGTCACCCAATTGGTAGAGTCGATCTGTCAGGATGATTTTCAATATGACTTCCAATCCAAACATTTTAGATTCTTCTTTAGATAAGTAACCAAGACCAAACCGAATATTATAATTAAAATAAATCGATATAAATGTAAGTTTATTCTTTTGTTCACCACGATATAATGAATTAATATGTTACTCAATGGATCTATATTATTTTGTTTAATTCCGCTAACATTATTATTTGTTGTCTGGTTACAGATCCAATAACGTGAAAAAGACTTAGAAAACATAGAATTACACAGAAATGAAAATATATAATATTTATTTTATAAATAAAACATTTTTTTCTTTTCCATATTTTTTAACGTTGTTTTTAAAAAAATGTACACACAAAATGTGGACATGTCAAGTGTTTCGTTTAATAAAAACCACCAGAGAGAAGGAGTGGTGCCTCCTTATCAAAACATAAAATAATTATTTGTTTGTGCCTTTTAATGCGCTGAAGATCTTGATATGTGTAATTATAGTCAGAGATTCCAGGCTAGTTTTTTTTAATTTCATGACATTGGTATAATAAGATTGATATGCGTAAGCTAATTTTGAATATGAACCGTTAACAAATTGTCTTTGGCCCGCTGAAATCCCGACGTTTCAGTGTTGCTATTTTAAAATAAGGTTTGGGCCATATATTATGGTATGGTATGTATATTAATTCTTGAACTCTGACTCATCACAATGACATTTCTGTTCAGAGCTACGCACCAACTTTTCCAATTGACTCATTAACTTTCTACTGTCAGTTTATGATTTCGGGAACGACTTCACCTCCAGTCGTTATGTATGGAGGCTTTAAATTTTATAGCATTTTAATGGTTTTATCTGTATGGATGACTAAATTCATATGCAATGTTAAAACGCATTCTTAATCCACAAAAGGTGAAAGGTTATTCATTTGACTGGTATTACGGGATAATATTAACTTTTGTAGCTGTTTTGATGACGATTTTTCCAACTATAAGGTTTATTCTTTCTTTCTATTCTCGTATTAGTTTTGTCACGGACTCGATTTTTTGTGGAACTTTGCTTTTAATTATCAAATGACTTACTGTTTACTAATAACTAGTTTAATAATATTAATTTTGAAATTTGTAACTGTGGATGGATACATAATTGTTGATACTCTTTTACGCAAAAACTTTTGAATGTATTTTAATGAAAGTTTACAATAATAAAGCTTATACATCAGAATAACAAATAGGTTGTAAATCACACACAGGTGAAACCGCGAGCACAGCTAGTATAACAGTAATTATCACACTATGTCTTAGAGATAGAGTTAGTTATCTATATAAACAGCGTAAATATTTTATTTCATTAGGACCATAATTATGACTGTAATCCTTCGAACTATGTTTTTCAGATTAATAAATCGCTTTTAATTTCGAATAATTCCATCTGAATATAACCTTATCTTTTTTTTAAATTCAATTATCACTTTACTATTTACATCCATTAAGAAATAATACCATATAAAGACGCGAAAGTAGCAAAAACCTAAGAGGTTTTCGAAAATTCCAACAATAAGTTTACCACAAGTCACAAATATCTTGCGAAGTAAAGGTTGAAAAGCGCGCAAAAAGGTCAACAGATAATCAAATGTACTATATAACCTTGTTATCTGATGGAGGCGTCAAGTCTCCGAGACCGACGTGAATACATGAGACGAGTTATGGAAGTGAATGAAGCAAGAGTCATGCGTTGGGATAGACGCTAATCGTGCTGCTTAAGTATGTACCGTAAATAAAAACAAATATAACATATTTTAGCATGTTTTTTTTTTCAGATTTTTTTAAGTAATTGTTATATAAAGAAACTGTCTGCGCAACTGGTACACTAATATATATATATGGTATACTAGTAACAAATAGCTAATGTGGCCTATATACATGAACAGATCACCATCATATGGACACCCGTAGGACACCCCATTTCAGATGAACATTTTAGTGTTATGTTCTTACCCTGTAATTTCATTGTCTATGGAATATATAAAAATAAATATGTACTGAACATCACAGGCCAGTTGAAGAACGGAACACTGCAAAATTAAGGATGTACCAACGACTGCCACGCCTCCTGTAGGTTTTTCAAGTTAAGTGCTACCCAAAAACACTCATTTGATTTTTATCGACACTGATGTTTATAATCGAGTTCCTTATTTGTCACGGCACTGAGGCCGTGTCTGTACGTAATTATAAGTTATTGACACACTGATTTATTATTAATGGAATTGTTATCACAAAAGAATATCTACCTGATAAAGCTGTACAACATCAAAAGTTTTCTCAAATCAGATAACATTTTTATTAAATTCGTTCGACGGTACAAGGTTAGTGCAAACGATTTTTTCTTTTATTTATTTTTTAATAGTAATAGAGAGAGTGTCATAGTAATTTTTGTGCAATAACTACTCTGTGCAACTATTAGACAGACCATAGACTAACATGTATTTGTTCAGTTTTTTGTCAAAAAAGTAAAGTACTTTTTTGTATTTCGCGGCTTAGTCCATATGCCTAATATAAATGTATAAATATACAAAAAAATGTATAAAAGCTGTTTAATATGAAATAAATTGTATATTTTTACCAATGTTATAAAGTAGTAACAACTTGCTCAATGATTGCAAACGTATGCAGATATTTCTACGTTTGTATGTTTGTAACTCAATCAAAGAAAAGGCGGTAAAAATATAAAAAAAAA